TACCTCCCGGCAGCTCCCGTCTCAAGCGAACAGCGACAACACACATCTCAGTAGATGACCCGGCGAGGGCTTGTGCTGTGAATAGCAGGCGTGGTCTCTACTCCAGGTGCGAGGCTCTGGGAAGATCTCGAAAGACGCCCCCTTGCGACTGTCTGAGCTTGTGCGTCTTGGGGCCGGGGTTGTGTTTGTGTGACTTCTGACTGTCGTTGCGGTCTATCCCTATTCCCTTTCTCGACTGTCTGCAGTCGATTAGGTATGCTGAGTGACTTTCTTGTGCTGAGAGAGAGCTTTGTTTTGTGTCTTGTGCTTGCGAGAGAGAGGATTTTTAGCAATGCTTGCGATGGATGATCTCCGACACCCAAAACCAAAATGCAAATGCGGAGTGGCACACTTTGGCGTGCAGATCCTGCGTCTCTCACTGCCCGAACAACAGACGCGGGTACCGCCGCAGGTCTGTTTAAAATTCTTTTCTCGCGCCGTCACGGCGACGAGCATAACCAGCTGCTGCCGACGAAGATCGAGGCCTTGGCTGGCCAGCGCGTCGTCGCTGTGTCGGCTGGAGAAGGCCACAACCTCGCCCTCACCGCCGACGGCGCCGTCTGGAGCTGGGGCTTTAGCGAAGATGGCCAGCTGGGCCACGGCGACGAGCAGCACCAGCATCTGCCCAAAAAGGTCGAGGCCTTGGCGGACAAGCGCGCTGTGGCCGCGCACAGCCTCGCCCTCACCGCCGACGGCGCTGTCTGGAGCTGGGGCGGTGGGAGGAGCGGCCGGTTGGGCCACGGCGACGTGCGTAACCAGCCGCTGCCGAAGAAGATCGAGGCCTTTGCTGGCCAGCGCGTCGTCGCTTTGGCGGCTGGAATGTCTCACAGCCTCGCCATCACCGCCGACGACGCCGCCTGGAGCTGGGGCTATGGAGGCTTTGGCAAGCTCGGCCACGGCGACCAGCAGCGCCAGCTGCTGCCCAAGAAGGTCGAGGCGTTGGCGAGTCGGCGCGTCGTCGCTGTGTTGGCTGCAGCCATGCATAGCCTCGCCATCACCGCCGACGGAGCTGTCTGGAGCTGGGGCGAGGGCCGCCACGGCTGCCTAGGCCACGGAGGGGACGTGTCGAATCAGCTGCTGCCCAAGAAGATCGAGGTGTGGTCGCGGGATTGAGAGGTCGCGGAAGCGGTATCGAATCGTCGGATAGTATCGTGTGGACGCCTTGCGCATGATGCATGAATGTGCCGTGGGGCACCTCTCGTCGGGCCGAAGCCCCGCCCAGACTCCCTTCACACTCTCTCTCTCCTAGAGTCCCGTGGCGTCGTCCTAGAGTCCGGAAACAAATAATTAAAAGTTGACTTTTGGCTGCGACCCGCCGCTGCAACGGCCCCCCCCGGGACGGACACTGCAGCAGCCGCTGTTGCACAGTGTACCAGCCGAAGCGTCCACGAGAGGAGTGGCTCCTCCTGAGCAGAGTCGAGACGTGATCCGTGCTGTTATGTATATGTACCGGCCCTATATGCACCCGTGTGTCCTGCCTATGCATTGGCAGGGTTAGACGTCGCGCGAATGCATAGTCCATAGCGTGTTCTTATGCAATACGTACGATGTTTTCGCCTTTATATGTCTCAGCAAACAGTGCAGCGCTGCCGATGTCGCATTGGCGCTATGAGCTACGCATTACGTATCCGTATTATGCATCACTCAGCCGAGCCTGCACGTGGGAGGGCTAATGGACTACGTATTATGTGTCTGAGGGCTTGTGCGTCTTGGGTCCGTGGTTGTGTTTTTGTGAACGGAATACCTAAACCGTGAACGGAAGGCCATCCTCGCGCACGGACGCTACAGGCGCGGGCGCGGGGGTGGAGGGTGCGTATGAGGCGGAGATGATGGAGGCGCTCGCCGCGTGCCGGCGTGCGGCGATTGAGCGCCTCCTCTCTCTCCGGCTGCGCGCCTGACCGGTGCGGCCTCACCGAGTCGGCGTCTAGCGCGCGCGATAAGGTTTTTGCTCGCCTTCCCTGGGACCCCGTGTTGCGTGACTCTGTGCGATTTCGGGCCCGGGGTTTTGCGTTCACGTGAACGGAAGAAATCGCATCATTGCCGCCGAGCGAACCGAACGGCGCTGCGTCGCTGCGCCCTGCCCTGCTGCTGCTGGGCGGCATGTACCTCCTCGCGACTGCCCTCGCTGCTGCTCCGCCGCGGCCGCTCCTCCCCACTGCGCACAGCGGCGTCTTCGCGGGAAGAATCCGGGCCGGCACGCCGGCGATGATGGTGCATTCGGTGAGAAACCGGCAGCAGCCCTTCAGCGGCTGGTCTCGCTCCACTCGCCAGACGTCGACGTCGACGACCACCTCGCAGTTCCTCGAGGCGCAGAAGCCTCGGTCGATGGCGGCCGCGTGGATCGACGGCGGCGTCCCGCGGTGGGTGACGCTGGTCGACGAGGTCCTCTTTGTCGTCGCGTCGGCCGCCTTCATCAAAGGCTCGCTCGACTTCTTCCCCGGCGTGCCGCTGCAGTCGTACATCGAGGGCATCAACCTCTTCTTCGCCGGCTCCGCCGTCTACACCGTCCTCGCAGTGTTTGCGGCGTACGAGATCGTCGAGGACGCAAAGCTGTCTGGCCGCGAGGCGCCGCCCGCCAAGCTCGTGGAGCAGGCGCTCTACCTGCTCGGCTCGGTCTTCTTCCTCTTGGGCACCGCAGAGTTCACGCCGCCCGCCGAGTCGTCGGCCGAGGATGCGGCCGTGAGCGTGAGCGTGCTCGGCCGCACCTTCTTCCTCGGCGCGGCAAGAGCTGCACCTGAGAGAGGGCGCAGACAC